CTTGCCTCCCCAAAATCTGTCATTTATGGTGGCCACCTCACTCTGCCTAATGGATGGATCCTATAGGTTGATCCATAGGATTCAGGGAAGGGGGCAGACACATTCAGTCCAGAGGCTGAACTTGTGCTGTTGGAGAGTGAAGAGGACATGACAGAAAGCAAATCTTAAGCTGTATTTGTAGCCAGTCCCATCTGTATAGAGCAGGAGCAACTCCTGGAACAAATTACAAGTCTAGGATATGGTTGGTGTTAGTAGACAATCAAGAATTCATATGTGCATATGTCACTTTGTTTTATTTATACTGTAATTATATTGCATTATATCTGGATAATTTGTTTTACAATTGTATTGTATGATTTTATATTTGCATTATTCCATTCCTCCCCAAGGTGTACATCTGTGTGTGTATTTTAGGTTGTATGCCTTTGGCAGGGCTGGCTGTTTTTGTTTTGTTTTTGTAAAGCACAAACTATATCAGGGGTAGGCAACCTAAGGCCCGGGGGCCAGATGCGGCCCCCCAAGGCTTTTGGACCGGCCCCAAGCCGGTCCTGCCACCGCTGCCGCCACTGCCGCCGCCCGCCATGATGATATTGATTATTGTTGTTATTACTTGTTCTTGGGGTTTTCTTGGCAAAATCTCCACAGGGGTTTTGCCATGGCTTTTCTGGGGCTGAGAGAGTGTGCATGCATATTTTTTTAATTTTTAATTTTTTTTATTTTTAATATTTATTTATTTATTGTGCTTCGGCCCCCCAATTGTCTGAGGGACAGCAACCTGGCCCCCGGCTCAAAAAGGTTGCCTACTCCTGAACTATATAAATAAATAAATGATGGTGATGGTGATGATGATGATGAAATCCATGCAATATAGAGATAGAGTCTTATGATACTGAAAGCTAACTACTGTTTTTCTTTCTTTCTTTCCTCCTACCTGTTGCTACAGTACAAGAGCAGGAGGGTATTATTGCAACTAAATCCTTTGAGAAGGCATTTGTTTGGCCACACTGGGAGCAGAATATTGGACTAGATAGGCCTGTGGTCTGCTCCAGAAGAGCTCTTAAGTTACTTATCAACTTCTGTAACATGAACTTTGTTCTCTCACAGCACACTAGTAGGTTCCTACTAACACAATTGTGGAATTGCTGAATCAGAGGTCTAAATCCCGTTAATTACACAACAATAGACAAATTAAACAAATGAGAATCTAATATGTGAACATTTAATAAATTCCATTAGTTCAGAAGGTGAACTCTAGCTGGGTTTAACTATTGATTTTCCATCCGCTATCATTAGAATGGTGCTTGTACAGGTAAATATTCAAGAAATACAAATCTGATTTATTTTATTTTATTCTCCAATTTTAAATGAATTTTATAAACTACAAAATGAATAAAGAAACATGTAAATACAGAAGCAAAGAACTATACCATCATCACAACATATTTGAAATAATGTTATGAGGAGTAGGAGTTGGTGTTGTTTTTTGTTATTCTATGGCCCTTTAAATATACAAAAGTAGCTCTATAATTGCACTGACATGATAGCATCCTGTGGAATCCTTGTAATCTTGTGAGGCATTACACCTATCTGTCTGAGATTTCTATATAACCCTTCCTTAACCATAAATTCCAGGATTCTGTGGGATGGAACTGTGGTAGTTAAAGTGGAAACACCGTGTTGTATTTATGTAGTGCTAAAGAGCCCTGGGTGAGTAGTAGAAGAATGGCAGCAGATTCTGCCTGAAATTGATTCCATCACATATTCTCCAGCATTCCCAATTTAGCAAGTACATCCCTGATTTGTTCTATGTCATTCCATTTTTTCAGCTGCTTTTAAAAAGTCCCAGTTTCTCTCTCCTCCTCAGATCTGGCAGTGCACCACCAAATTCAGAAGCAGTGGAAGGGACGGCATTTTCAGGGGCCCAAGAAACTGAGGTTGTGAATTCGAACCCAGAGGGCTTCAGGTTGACTCAACTTTCCATCCTATCAGAAGTTGGTAAAATGAGTACCCAGCTTGTTGGGGGCAATTGGTTTAGAGAGTGCTTACATAGAAATGTAAATGCTATTGCTATTGCTATGTGGCCCATAAGATTTGTGTTATTACTGTTGGTCTAGAGAAACCAAGTGATAGGTATATATAAGGCTGGCCTTACCATAAGACATGGTAAAAACACTGACTCAGGAAGCAATTTTTCTGGAGCAGAGTGCTGGAGAACAGAGGTGGGTGTTCCAGATAGTCCACCCTCCACCCATTATGTAAGCCTGCTGTCCTATCATGTGGCAGAAGACATAGTACTATCCTCAACACTAAAACAATATTCAACTGCCAATCCTCATGCCATTTCTCATACAATTTTCATATGTGGAATGTGGCCATCATGTCCTTCTCCTCAGAAAGAATATACCGTGTACTCCTGGCAACAAGCTTGTGAGTAGACTGATAGAAAGGTTATACAATGGAATGGGTTATTGGCCATGCTATATTATCATGTGCAAAACTGCAATCTGAATGCAGGTTGAAAGACGGCCTTAATAAGGCACACCCTCCCGCTACATTCAACACTTCTGCACAAGTGTGCAGCACATTGCATGTGGATAATTATGGTACTTTTCATCATTCCACTGGAGAAAATGAATATTCATCTAGAGTATTTTCCCTATAGTCAAATATCTAAAAAATGTTGTCTAAAGAGGAAAAAATGAGTTTTTGTGCAGGAAACATTATTTCTTGCACAGAAAAGTGTTTTCTGTGAGAAAACCAATTTACTGAACAGAAAGCAGGACATTTTTTTTTTTGCCACAACCCCCACCACCACCACCACCATCTTTCTTTTTACATTAACAGGAATACATTTGGCTAGTATGTGATAATATAGAAGTCTTTGTGTGTTCATATTCCCGCTTTCAATAAGACTAACTCCATAGGAGTGTAGGATTGTTCTAAGTTTCTTAGACATTAAGGACTGCAGCTTTAAGAAGTGCAACCTTGACATTCTTCACCCATAAAAATGGTGGCCAAAGTCCACAGGGTTTCACTATTTGTGCTGGTTCACTATCATTGTGTAAATCTGATGGCCGGCTGTGTGCATAAGTTGTGTCCAAGAACAAGTAAACACACACCCTCTGCTTGGAAGGTTTGGTCGACAGAAGCACATAAAAAGATATATGGGATATTAATGGCTTCAGTTGCAGCAGGGCATGAGAAGGTTTCTTCCTAGGGGGCTGTTTTCCAAATCTTGAGAAAGAGTAATGATTTAAGAAGCTCAGGTTGTCAGAGCCATGTCACAATCTCAGAGCAGCTGATCCCCTACAGTGATTCATAGCTCATAATATGCCAAATGCTTTCATTCCTTGGACTTCCCCTTCTTCTGTTTGTTCATTCATTTTACCCAGATTTTCAGAGAGCGGGAAAGTACTGTCAAAGGCAGAAACCTCGTGAGCATTTGATAAGGTCTCAGCCAACTGTATACTTGTTGGATTTCAAAGTCCACACTGCCTCTACTAGGCCAACCAAAAGCACCACGAAATTCCTTGTGCAAATTTTTGAAACCACAAGTTTCTTTACCAGGCAAAGATACTTCAAAACAAAGACAGAAGGTAAAAAAAGGGGGGTTAACAGTGTTACAGTCACGTAGTTTACACATTGTTTTGAGATTGACAAATTAGTCTTATCAGGCCCCAAACTCACCGGAAATAGAAAAGGCAAGAAAAGAGGACATCCTATTCATATTCTACTTAAAATGCCAACACTCGCACATCCTTGCATGATTTGGAACATCTGGATTTTCAAAGAGTAAAACTCTCCAATTTGTTTCAGTCCTGAAAAGAGTGCATTGTTTATTTTCCCCCCAGAGATTTATATCCTACCTCTTTTCCCCAAGGGCTAAGGCAGCATGGATCTCTTCCTTGTGTTGTTTTGTGTGCCTTCAAATCATTTCCAATGTATGGCGACCCTATCACAGGGTTTTCTTGGCAAGATTTGTTCAGAGGAGGTTTGCCATTGGCTTCCCTGAAGGCTGAGAGCATGTGACTTGCCCAAAGTCACCCAGTGGGTTTCCATAGCCAAGACGGGAATAGAACCCTGGTCTCCAGAGTTGTAGTCCAGCACTCAAACCATTCTGCCATGTTGACTCTCATCTCTTCCTTACTCAGGTCTTTATTCTCACAACCACCTTGTGAAATAGGCCAGAGCTGAGAGAGAATGGCTAACCCAAGATCACCCAGTGAGTTTCATGCCTCAGTGGAAAACCTGAACTTGGATCTCTGAAGTCTTTATCCAGCACTCTAACCACCATGGCATGCTTTTCTATCCCCTGACCCAGAAGCATAAACATCCCTCTACAGCTTTCCAACAGGGTTGAAAGTAAACAAGCATGTAAGTAGGAACAATCCGGCCATTTCAGTATCCAAACATGCAAGCTGGCTTTCTATCAGCCCGCAGAGTACACTTGGCTCCGAACACCCCTGCCGCTGGAGCCGGTGATAAGAGAAGGGATAACCATCCGTGTCAGTCCGAGATATGTCGCTTTGTCAATATGCTTGTCCAAAGTCAACTCTGAGCAAGACTGCACCAGGAGCATTTCTTTTGTCCTTATTATGCCAAGGACAGCAGGCCCAAATGCCAGCCAGGAGCTGTTATTTGACATCACTATGGCTTCAGAACTAATGTTGAGGTCAGAAGAAGTTAAAGCTTGCCTTGCAGGTGAGAATGAAAGAATTAGCTCAGCCATC